TTATCGGTACACTTATATTATGCTGCCACAGGTGGCAATAAGGAAAAGTTGATCGGTAAGGACAATTTCCTATTCAGATTCGTTTTCGCTTATGCTAAAACAACTTTAAATTCATAGTAAGATGTGGAATTTTTATTTACAGAGTTTTTTGCATCTAATAATAAGAAAGGCGCGTTGGTGAAAGGATGAGAATGTTGGACAGCAGCCAATTGTGGGAAAACATTGATCCGCGTTCTGGATTACTGTTGTGTTTTGAGACGCGAAAAAGTCGAAGAATTGATCGACATGACACATATTACGATACGATTAGCTTCACCACCGGCGGGCACCAGGAGTGTAAGGGAGATCATTAGAATAAAGACTCCCGAGAAGATGTATGGACTTGGTGAAAGTGTTTTAGTCGAGACAGAAGAGAAAGACTTAAACAACCTTGATACCTCTGACGAGACTACGAAGTCGCCTCTGATGAATGGTAACTCTCAAACTTTACGCGCAGTTGGGGATTTTTGCGCAAATGGAGAAGAAAATGGTGCGCTTGCAAACGGTAGAACCGAGACTGAAGATCTAAACCGTTTGGCTACTCTGAAAAGCGTAGAAAATAAGAGCGAAAGAGATGAAACAGCTTTGAAAAATGGAAGAATAGAGGACACAGATTTGCAAGCGCGTTGTGAAAGCTGTGGACGGCCTGTTGAACGTGACGAGTTTGAGTCAGAATTATACATAACTCGGAAAGATTTAGCTACAGTGCAAAGCCAGTTAGAGACGTTTAAATCACGGCTTGAAGAGGAGCTTATTGAGAGATTTAAATTAGAAGAAGAGTTGAAATCTGAGTCTGAGGTGCATGAAAATGAAATGAAGATTTTGAAGGAGAAAATTGCAAGTTTGGAGGAGAATGAATGCGAGAAAGCCAAACGAGTCGAAGAACTGGAAAGCACGATTCTGGTTTACAAAGAAGAACATGAAAAGGAATGGGAGGAAGTAGAGAATTTGCGGAATTTTGTTGGTAAATATCAGAGCGAGGTTTGTAAGCTTAGAACGGAAGCAAACATTGCAAATGATCAAGCGGTTGAAGCAATTAATGAAATGGAAATATTGACAAAGAAAACTGAGAGAAGCGAACACGAGAAGGGTAAATTAAGACAGCAGTTAAAGTCAGAGATGGAAGGATATTGGAGGGAAGTCCGCGAATTAAGAAATGCCTTAGAAAACTGGGAAAGAATGGACTCCGACAGGAATAACCGCATCCAGATTTTAGAGAACGAAGTTGCGTCTTATAAAGACCTAGTGAACGAACTTCGAGAGGACCTGAGTGAACGCAATCACAAAACAAACGGAAAAGGTTCTCAGATGGAATCGAGCAAGGATGAGCATCTTTTGGTTCTCTGTCATGAGTTGAACGAAATTTTCAGAGAGCATCTAAATAGCCAAGGAAAATTTTCCGAGTTGTCGTTCGTTCTTGCTGCCACGCAAAAGGAACTCGAAGAGGCGAGAAATCGAAGCCAGGTCCAAAATATTGCGCTTCAAGAATTTAAACAGAAGTACAATGATTTACATGATAGTATGGTTGCTTTAACAGAAGAGAATCGGCACTTAAGGAATAGTCTGGAGAAAAAATGCGCCGATTTTAGAGACATAAGGCGAAAGTTTCTTGTATCTGAAACAGAGGTTTCATGGCTTAAAGAAGCGTTAAATATTGTTGATGAAGCCAAGAAAAAATCCCTTTGTACCAGTGTTATGGAAACTGCGAGTTAACTGTAACTGTAGGTAGCATTCATTCTGCTTTATCTGCTTACTTATCAAGCCTTATGCAGGTAAATGGCATGGTTCCATTTAAACCAGAAGAAAACAATTTTTGCTGTCTTCATTACAAGATATTGCATTTTAAACAAACTCAGTAATTCATTTGTCCCAAAAATTCTTTTCTTCTAATGAATAACTACCTTCAAATTTCTTCATTCACATGAATTTATTATGTAACATACATAAAACAAGTTTGAATCAAGCAGCTGATGTGAGCAATGTAATTTCAACCATGTTTATGAGAGACATGCTTTATGTGTACCCGTTGACTCTACTCAGTCACGTTTTGTGTAGGTGTGAACAAAACCTGACTGTCTGTTAATTTCTGTAGTAACTAATAAAAATTTGATATCATTTTAGATAAAAGTACATGTACAAAGACTCTGCATTGTACATTTGTAGGAGAGTTGCTCCACAGTTATGGAAATGTCATCTCATATTTAGTCAAGAAATCTCACTGAACTAAGAGAAGTCTCGGTGGAGATAAGATATTCTATGTTGCATCACCTGATATCATTAGAAAAATATGTATTATTAACTGATGACAAATTTAAACAGACTGATGCAAGTACTGCCTTCTAGTAAATATGAAGGTGTTCCTGAAAAATAGCCTCAAATGTTATGATAGACTTCAAGATTCTCCTTTGAAATTGCCTCACATTTGCTCACAAACAAGAGGGGAATTAGGATTTAACCTTAAGGTGAGCAGTCAGGGTCTGACTATTGCCTTTCTCTCCTCTGGCTCTTCTACATGCCCCAAAATCACCTCTATCAATATAGGTGACTTGCTGTCATAGTTTCTCTCTATCCCTCTTGGGCATTAGATTTAACAGTAAAAAAACTCCCTGGGAAGGTTGGTACATCTTTGATCTCTCCATAAGTCTTGGGATGCCCCTACCCACCTCCCCGTAGATAAGCTCACCTACATTCAAGAAGCCATCTGTTGGTGGGCCAACGGGAAATCTGCTACCTTACATGAACTCCAGTCCTGACCAGCACCCTACAATTTGCTTGTAAAATTATTGCCACTGGCCACCCCTTCTTACAGTGCATTACCTGTCTAAGGGTGTCAAGTTTCTTCACTGGCACATCTTCCTAGATTCAGGTTTCCGTAAAGACATTAAAATGTGGCAGGACTTTCGCAAAAAATTGGAATGGAGTGTCTCTCTCTTTAGATACCAGGCCATTAACCTGACCTTTTCTCTTTATGCTTTTTCTTTTTCTTTTTTTGTCCTTTCCTTCCTTTACTCTTCCTTTCTTTTCTTTCTTTTGTATCATCATTTTCCTTTCTCAGAAATATAAGATTTATATTATATGATTTTAAAGCTACTCTGTGAATCAAAGCTTTAAATAAAGGTGTACTGTATGTATGTATGTATCTGTAAACAAAGTCTGTTCTGCTTAGAGAGGAGAAGTGTGATGTCACATTAACATGGTAGCAAAATTTCTGGATGTCAACATCCTTTCTTGCCATGGAAGAACAATAAAAGAAAAGTATGAGCTACTGTTTTGTCCCTGAGTGCAATCTATAGGTACGTCATACATGTACCTACCAATTTTATTATTTTTTTCTTCAGCCATACTTGCGGGACCACAGTTTGTTGAGATCCAAAAATTTTGCTTCCAGGGCAAAATTAAGTACTGATTTCTCTTTTCTATTGCATTGCATACCTGTGTTGGTGGTACTTCAGCTTTCATATAATGTTTTAAGCCTAATACTGAATAGCCAGCTGTTTCCAGGTCTTTAAATGGCATGGCATCATAGAATGTCTGTTTAAATCTAACTTGGTCTTCAAGGCTTAATACATTAGACAGAGAGACAGCATCAGCAAAAATGGCAAAGGACAATAGTAGCAGAAGGCAGGCACCTAGTCACAAGGAAATAACAAACAATTTGTTATATATGAATCATACTCATTATCACAAGAAAAGGAAGGGAAAACAGCAACTAGAATGTGCATACTGTTTCATTCTTTTACTTTAGGTTTTGAATTACATGTATCCTGGTTTCTATTCTCAGTTTCTGTGCTTAGCATTTGGCTAGAATTTCTAAGAGGTAATAAAGTTCACATACATGTACACAAAGGGTTATAGAATGGTAAATTTGAGACTTTGTGAGACTGCAACACCCCGGTTTCAAAATTCGAAACTGAGACTTACAAAAGTTTGAGACTCCAAGACACAAAATCACTCCAAAATGAGACTATGAGACCCATCAAAATACACTTCCGAGATTTCGAGATCCGGCCAAAACTTTCCAAGACTCTTGTTTTTTGAGGAACCATTCTGTACCCCTACATTTGGGAAATCTCCATGAAGTAGTATAAAATACTTGTGAAAATAACTTTAAAACTAATAACTACCTCTCAGTGCTTTAAATAGGGGTAGTGTTATTTATTTAGAACAAACTTATTTTAAGTGGTTCGAAAGAGTAGGTAAAACATTGAAAAAAACAAAGAGAGTTCAACATGCATGCATCATTTCATCAAATGATAGAAATGATGAACGCCTCCAAAATGTGCAACAACGGAACACTCAAGGAGGTTTAACGATAAAAAACGTCTCCATCTAGTATTTAAAATCTTATTGCTTTAGCTAAATGCCTGGCACATGTACATAATAAGCTTACAATAAGCTGTACTGAGGCTGGGAAAGATTCTGACTATGCATTATTTTATCAACACACGATACATAGATGAATTATCTTCTATCTTTTGCGCATCTCAACTACGATTAAATTCTCAGTTACCCGATAGAAATACCCTTTTTCTAAGAATTATTTCGCTTACCTCGTGCGGCAGCCATCTTGAAGACGTGTCGTGCAAAGAGAGAGAAGTTACAATCAAAAGAAACACGTGATACCCAGGAGAGCTCTGCGCCAGGCCCCGAATTATTTGCTCGGCTGGCTTATGAACAGCTTTGGAAAATTTTTCTATGACTGGAAAGTAGGAAATGTTTTCACATAGAATCCATAGAATTTTCGGAAATGTTGTTTTTTTGCTTTGTCTTTTTTAATACGAAATGAGATAATTAGCAATGAACCAGACTAGATTCTGGTCTCCATGTCATGTAAGGCTAAGTATTATGTCCTAGCAAATCCTACCTAGTACCCAGTACTTTGCTCAGTTTCCAATGGTCGCCTGGCGAACAATTTCATCCGGATGAGGTTGTTTTCCTCCAGCTTCCCCCAAAAAACAAATATGTTGTCTCGTTTGCTAGGTGTTAGTCAACCTTTTCATGGTGAAATCCCAGGAAAAGCGCAAGAATGCTGTACATCTTTTCTTTTTGATTCACGAAAGTCACCTGGGTTTGACAGAATAATGCTGTGCGGGCCTCCAGCGAGCGGGAAAACATCACTTCTTTTCGAGCTTGCGCTGAGCTTCGCAGAGGAAGAAAAACATGTGCTCTACATATGTCCTAAAAAGCTTTCTAAACTTCCACTGCTTGCTAATGGAAGAACTCAGCCTTCAAGTGAAACGCTGAGGTTTATACAAATGGTATACTTGGAAACAAAAGAGGACTATTTGAATTACATGGCGTCAATTCATTTCTCCACATCTCGAAAGTTTAGCTCGATAATTGTCGATGACCTTAGTACTTATCTTCCTGCGTCAATCAGGAATGAGGATTTGTCATCCGTTGCTAAGCTGTTTGCATTGACAGTCGATGCCTTTGTCTTTCAAAGATCAAAACACGTGTAAGTAAATGTCCCTGGGGGGGAGGGGTACTCCAGGGAATTCTTGGTGGGGATGTGCCGCCGGTTTCTCCAAATCCTGACCCTATTTCAGACCAAAAAATGACATTTTCCACACCTGTTTTTAGATGTAGCATTTAAAACCCATTCTGTTTTCAGACCTGGTAGGGCGATCCCCCAGAAAATCACTATGCAGTGGATATGAATTGGGAAAACCAATATTCCTGAATATTATCACACTATCCGCTGGATAGAAATTTATCTACTAGATAGCATTATAAAAACTGGGGCCTGAAGAAATTGATATGGTTTCATTGTAGTACTCAACCCTCTGACGAACCATCTGGTATGCTGGTGATGTCAACCAAAGTTCCAAATGGCACCAAGTCTGTTCCAAGACAGTCGTTTTATGAACGGTGGATACAATGTTTTCTTCTAATCCAAAAAAAGGAAAATGAGCTATTGGAACTGTCAGTATTACCCTCAAATGCTAAAGATGGTGCATCACTGGCAGTAGTTGTCTTCAAGTTAACTGATCAGAGCTTTCTTGTTCAAGAGATTGAACAGTTGTCACAATCTAAAAGTGTTTCCTTAACACAATGAGTTTGAGCTTGCTGTGGCATGAAAAATGAGGTAGGTGAAGCGAAGGATTGTGTGGTTCCAAAATATATCCATTCCTCCCCCACGGAAGGGATTTTTCCTTAGATCCCCCACCCCCCTGGAAATTCCAGTCAAGCTTCATACATTTAATCAAATGTTTGGGCCTTTGAGAACCCCCCACCCCCGAGGAATTTCCAATCCCTTCCGTGGGGGGAGTATGGATATTTTCTGGAACTACACATTAAGCAATAACTGCAGTAATTATTAATTAATTAATTATTAATATAAGGATAATTCTTGATATTTTTAAAAAGCTAAAACGTGTCTTTGAATCAATTGCATTGCAATAATAATAGCCCATTTTTTTAGACTATATTTAGGCACTGAAACTGTTTGCTGTCGTCTGTTGCTAAAGGTGGCAAGGATAGACATGGATTGTAACATGAAAAAATTGGGCCAACCCTTTTTCTAGTTGTTATGCTATGCCTGCAAAAATAACCAAAAAATGTTATGGGTGGTGCTTTCTGGTGATATTATTATTTTGTTTAATATCTTCTTCATAACTCTACAGGAGGATTTTTTGTAATATGTGACTTCATCACAGAACTGACCTAAAACAGTAATATCCTTTAGTGACATAACCCCTTAAGTAAAGTCATACATGCTATACCTGCCAACCTTTTTTCATTTATAGCATTTATAACATTTTTTATCTTAAGAGTGCCAAGATTTTTCGTAGGGGTCTGATAATATCCAAAGATGTCCGGAGATGTTCCGAAGACTTCTGAAGATGTTACGAAGAGTTCCGTCTCACACGAGCACAAAAGCACAAAGGAACATTGACTTCCCTACTAAAAAAAAGAGAATTCGGAGAAAGTCAATCATCCACATAGTCTTTTCTTTTCTCTCTTTGGTTCTGGTTTGTTGAAATAGTTAAAAGTTTCAAAATGTGTCAGTTAATGCTGTAATGGCTCAAACTTTTCTACCGGGCGTGACAAATCGGAACACAGGCGTGAGTAGGTGTGAGATCCAAGTTTTCGATCTGCAGGCATGACAATCACGCCTTAGGCGTGACACTTGGCAGGTATAACATGCCAACTCTTACAGATTATCTGGGAGTCTCCCGGATACGGCACCGATCTCCTGATCTCCCGTACTGGTCATCACATCTACCGGATAAAATTATCTTTTGAGCTTTTCTGTGCCTTAGTTTGAGATTTAGCCCATTTTTAGCTCAAAACTTGAATTTTTCTTATTCACAGTATGATTTTTGGGGCATTTTTGCAGGTATTTAGTCACTGAAAAAGATTATTTCTGACATCAGAACAATGATTGCGAATTTTGATAGTATGTACTGCATTTAAGACTTCATAATTTTTATAATGTCCTAAGTCATTCCCATTGGGAGCTGGCGGGCGAGAAAAGAGGGGGGGGGGAGTTGTAGTGAAAAATAGAGAGTCTCCAGAGTTTTTGTCTCCAGAGGTTGGCACCTCTGTAAAGTTAAGTGTTATCCTTCAATTTTACTTTTTAAGTTTCAGTAGGAATTACAGCTATTGATAACCTCACTCAAGGTGTTTTCTGTGTAATCTTTAAAGCCATGCTTTGGATGACACATGCAGCACAGTAAGCCAAACAACGTAGAATTTGTGTAATCATTTAATGGGACTTCTTTGGTGGTTTTGAGTGGTTTTCAGTTTGACCCTGAAAGGTTCAGTACCTTCTGATGATAATTATTGTTCAGACTGCTTATTTAATATTAGCACATTTTACACCCTGGCACTTTGACCTGCCAAGCCTGCAAGCAGGAGACTGGTAAAATGCCAATCATAGCAGAGCTCGAGCACCATGGGAAATAAAAAATGGTAACCTCTAGATGCGAGAAATTTTAGTAATCACGTGCGTCCGTCCACCCCCTACATGTACGCCAATATCAAATGTCACATTTGCTACCAGCATTATCTACGCCATCCATATGAAGATGAATTGGCAGTAATCGAAGCTGAGTCATTTTCCGACTAAATTTTAATGTCTACACTGACGTGTATGACAGAGAAAGAGCCGGAGCGAGAGATAAAAAACAAAGGAGATGAATTTTGTTGGAAGAAAACCATGAAAATTTTATACGGAGAAAATGGGAAATGCTAGTGGCCACTAACGTGAAAATGAGCAGCAGTGAACAAAGATATAGCGAACAGGAACACATACTACATTCCCTGCATAAAACGTGTAACTAAGAGGAGGTTTTACGTTGTAGTCGTGCAAAACAACGGCAAAGAGTGTGTGCTGCACTCGCAAAGTTATATTTTGCGAGTTAGACATATTGGTTTTTTTTCCGTTCTCGTTGCCGTCGCCATTTAACATCACACGATTTTATATTTTGTTTGAGCAGACTATCAGTGTATTAACAAGAGCTTCACTTTTAGCCCTGGTAAAATCTTTATATATTATTATGTGACCTGCAGCCTTTGCAATGCAATATGGCTGTTCGTGGCTGAATCTTATCCTGTAACGTATCTAGAGGAAAATCAGTGACTTGTGGATGAAATAAAATCTACGTCTTTTTGAGCAAGCAAAGAGGCCATTTCCGGTTAGCATGTGTCTCAAATTTGTCCTTTAGGTGCATGTACACCAGTGCCTTGGAAAAAGCTTTGAAGGAGCTTGGCAAAGGGTGAGTTCCTCTTTCCAACGATCAACTCCGTGACGGAATTAGGCAGACGCCTCTTTTGGCTTAACTAGCTATTGTAGTTAGGTTTTTGAGATTTGTTGTGTATGATTCAAATGTTATTTTGTTTTGTATTGTCGAGCGTTTTTAACATGAGCTTCTGGCTCGAAAAATTGAGCAATCACTTCCTACAATGTAGGTCTTTGACATTAAATAAATTATCCTATCCTGTCCTATATAGTACTAGGTGCGGGAGAACTGCCCTGCATTGTTGGCTACCGAAAGAAAGGGTAGCGATTCTGGATTTGTTGTTTTTCATAATAAATGAGCTACAGTCTCTAAAAAGTTTTATAAATTTCGAGCAGGACGTTTGTCTTGTTGCCGGGTAAGAATCTTTCTTCACAGAGGAAATTTTGTTCTCGATCCACTAACTGACGTACAAAACGTTAGCCAGAGGACGTTAGCGATCCGACTCGTTGGCGAAAGGACCGTAAACTGCAGGCTTAAATGTTGCACCTCTTCAGACGAAAGCAGTAATTCGCGTTCCTCCAAAAGAAAACGTTGAAAAAGAATCTCTAAGTCCTCTAGGGAAGTAGCTGATGAAACGTTTTAGACTTAATAATGTCTTGCGTGATTATTTGTTTTGTCGGGAAATTTCTTTTAATTAGAATGCCCACGTAATAAAACCCGATAGGCTCGTGCTGTTATATATGCAACAAAGCAAATTTGTTATCGGTACACTTATATTATGCTGCCACAGGTGGCAATAAGGAAAAGTTGATCGGTAAGGACAATTTCCTATTCAGATTCGTTTTCGCTTATGCTAAAACAACTTGAAATTCATAGTAAGATGTGGAATTTTTATTTACAGAGTTTTTTTGCATCTAATAATAAGAAAGGCGCGTTGGTGAAAGGATGAGAATGTTGGACAGCAGCCAATTGTGGGAAAACATTGATCCGCGTTCTGGATTACTGTTGTGTTTTGAGACGCGAAAAAGTCGAAGAATTGATCGACATGACACATATTACGATACGATTAGCTTCACCACCGGCGGGCACCAGGAGTGTAAGGGAGATCATTAGAATAAAGACTCCCGAGAAGATGTATGGACTTGGTGAAAGTGTTTTAGTCGAGACAGAAGAGAAAGACTTAAACAACCTTGATACCTCTGACGAGACTACGAAGTCGCCTCTGATGAATGGTAACTCTCAAACTTTACGCGCAGTTGGGGATTTTTGCGCAAATGGAGAAGAAAATGGTGCGCTTGCAAACGGTAGAACCGAGACTGAAGATCTAAACCGTTTGGCTACTCTGAAAAGCGTAGAAAATAAGAGCGAAAGAGATGAAACAGCTTTGAAAAATGGAAGAATAGAGGACACAGATTTGCAAGCGCGTTGTGAAAGCTGTGGACGGCCTGTTGAACGTGACGAGTTTGAGTCAGAATTATACATAACTCGGAAAGATTTAGCTACAGTGCAAAGCCAGTTAGAGACGTTTAAATCACGGCTTGAAGAGGAGCTTATTGAGAGATTTAAATTAGAAGAAGAGTTGAAATCTGAGTCTGAGGTGCATGAAAATGAAATGAAGATTTTGAAGGAGAAAATTGCAAGTTTGGAGGAGAATGAATGCGAGAAAGCCAAACGAGTCGAAGAACTGGAAAGCACGATTCTGGTTTACAAAGAAGAACATGAAAAGGAATGGGAGGAAGTAGAGAATTTGCGGAATTTTGTTGGTAAATATCAGAGTGAGGTTTGTAAGCTTAGAACGGAAGCAAACATTGCAAATGATCAAGCGGTTGAAGCAATTAATGAAATGGAAATATTGACAAAGAAAACTGAGAGAAGCGAACACGAGAAGGGTAAATTAAGACAGCAGTTAAAGTCAGAGATGGAAGGATATTGGAGGGAAGTCCGCGAATTAAGAAATGCCTTAGAAAACTGGGAAAGAATGGACTCCGACAGGAATAACCGCATCCAGATTTTAGAGAACGAAGTTGCGTCTTATAAAGACCTAGTGAACGAACTTCGAGAGGACCTGAGTGAACGCAATCACAAAACAAACGGAAAAGGTTCTCAGATGGAATCGAGCAAGGATGAGCATCTTTTGGTTCTCTGTCATGAGTTGAACGAAATTTTCAGAGAGCATCTAAATAGCCAAGGAAAATTTTCCGAGTTGTCGTTCGTTCTTGCTGCCACGCAAAAGGAACTCGAAGAGGCGAGAAATCGAAGCCAGGTCCAAAATATTGCGCTTCAAGAATTTAAACAGAAGTACAATGATTTACATGATAGTATGGTTGCTTTAACAGAAGAGAATCGGCACTTAAGGAATAGTCTGGAGAAAAAATGCGCCGATTTTAGAGACATAAGGCGAAAGTTTCTTGTATCTGAAACAGAGGTTTCATGGCTTAAAGAAGCGTTAAATATTGTTGATGAAGCCAAGAAAAAATCCCTTTGTACCAGTGTTATGGAAACTGCGAGTTAACTGTAACTGGTTCAAACGAACCTTGGGGATTTTCTTACGTAAGAGTTTGGATTTTCTCGTGGATTTTCTGCGCAGTAAAAAGTAAAAAAAAAAACATTGCTATATATCTTTGAAAAAGTATTTTTAACAACTGGTATTCAAAATATCCTTAATTCGCGACTTTCTTTCATTATTAATGTGAATATAAACTAAAATCGAATTTGCAGAATTCTCATATTTTTTGTATACAAATTAACTGGTAGAAGTGTTTCAACTTGTTGTATTGAAGTGTTTTTATTTCAAATAATAAAAATCTAATGTGTGAGCCTTTTTTTTAACTTTCGTGCTTAATTTTTATGCCTTTGGTTTAGATAACTAAACAAGAGTTAAAAAGCCCCTGAATTGTTTACTTATTTATGTTAGCGTGGGTTGTAATATCTACGCTGTAATAACCAATGCCAAAAGCGCCGAGCTTTTCCTTTAGATGTCACGCTAGCTACGTCACGCTGTTGAAAAGTATCGTGTGGGATAAAGCAATCGTGGGAGGAAATTGTTCTCTAAAGTGAACTATCTCTAACTCATGAGATGTCACGCTATCTACGTAATGAATCAGACTTAAAATCTTTCCATTTCCTAGCGCAGAAATACGTTGAATTGAAAATTTTCAGGTTACTCTTAAATTTTCGCAATCAGACTATGTAGAATCGCCAGACAAAAATTATCTTTTCCTTTCAAGTCCGTTTCTTCATTGTAAGTTTGTTATACAAGGAATTGAGAGAATTCGAGCGTTGAATGTTCCATTGAAAGATAAAATATGTACAAGTGAATATAGCATTCATTGGAGATACTTTTTTAAGCCCCTTTACTGTAAAATTAGAAAACAAAAATTGCATGCGAAGAAAAAAGATAGTTAATGCCGGGGATACACTTAAAAGGTTACAGCGTACATTATGTCTCGATAGTTTGTTTTCACTTACTCCTTTATTTATTTTACCAAACGTCGTGTATTTTGCATTTTCTAATGTTTAATCTTTTGTATCGCTGCGTCCAAATTTGTTCCCATAGTAATACACTCATGCCACGTGACTATATTTAGGCAAGGTACGTGAACTCTGCGTTGACTTCAGAAGACAGCGGATCAATTCTTTTTATATATGTTGTGCTGCATGCGCAACAGCTCGCCCATATTTAAAACCTGGCTTTCATTTGAGTGAAAAAGAAAAGAACGTTTTTTCATTTCCATTTGTCTGGAAAGTAGCCGAGATGGCAAAAGAGCACTCAACGTTTTTGATCGCGATGGGAATTCACCGCCTCCTGCAGATAATTCAGGTAAATCTTAAAACCGTGGTTTACATATTTTCCGCTCTACTAGCTACCGTTTTTTGAGAGAAAATATCCAATTTTCGCTGCAATATATGTTATTCTATGCATATCGTGTGAGGTAAACAGGACCATGTTGTTTAAAATATCATGTTCGCGTGTTCAAATTATTTTAATCATAAAAGTGGAGACCTTCTTAGATATTCTATGAAAATTCATATTTTGTTCTTTAATTGGAAATTCACTCTGATCAGTATTTTTCGTCCTTATTTGCAACTTAAAATTGTTCTACTTCACATAAATTCGCATACGAAATTAATGGCAGTCATTTCTTCTTATTTGGTTTAACACATTTATTTTTTGAGCCAATGGCTTGCGACCTACTCACAGGCATTACAGCCAATATTTGCTAAAACTGACACTCATAATTTAGTTTTCAGCTGCTTTAGTAGAATTGATCGCGAAAAATATATGGGGTATTTTCGCAAATGAATACTCCCAATATAGATTCTGCCAGAAGCATATCTGATTCGGTTTTAGTATGAACTAGACTGTAGATTTCCCTTTTTATAGTTTGCTTGCTATTAACAGGATTAGTTAACAAAGACTTTTTTTTTCTTCTCAAAACACCCAAGATTTTCCCTGCTAGCAGAATTTCCTTTCTTCGATTGTGTTACAACAACAACAGTTTAATTGAAATATCGAAAAAGGTGTACAGACAATAGTTTAAATCCCACAGATAGCAATCAAACTATTCGAGGCGGGATCAAGGAGAAAGAAAACAAATAAATACAAAAGCAATTAATCTATAACTCTTTGAAGGTGGACTAAGATAATGTGGAAAAGCGGGCTTTATCTGCGGGAAACCGAGATTTTTCACCGTATGCGCCACTATAGTTACGTTGAAAGTGGCGAAACTTGCATTACTACACTGATATTCAAAGGTGAATTGGGCCAATCGTATTTCCTTTTAGTACTAGTAATACGGAAGGTCAAAACGCTTTTGCTCCAACGCTGTGCTTTGCGTAGGTTTCACGTGGCAGATAATATAATCAAAACAAGCGTGATAAGTTTACAAGTGATAGAAAGTCCAAACGCTCGTGATCAAATTGGGTTCTATGCACTGCATTCATTCATAGTGGAAGTCCAAACGCTGGGTACATAGATGCGACGCATGCGTAATAACAACCTGGAGATTAGGATTGCGGGCTCCTCTTGTCACCCGCAATTATTATTATTATTATCATCATCATCATCATTATCATATTCATTATCAGTGTTACTAATTGATATTTAGTCACGGACATTATGAGCGATGATAGCGAAACTGGTTTGAAAGGCCGGGATTCTGAGTCTAACACGACAGCAAGACTAAGGGGAAGACGGAAGGACCGTAAGCAGAGAGAAAGATGTGATATCTCCTTTCTTAGCTTGTCATCACATAGTTAAAAAAACGAGGCGACCCGGGGACTAGACAGCGGCTGCGCGTGAATTTCTCTCCTGCAAGGGGTGGATGGACGGAAGAAATCATATTTTCCCTGGCCTCGCCGGTGGAAATTTTCACCGGCGTTCGCTTGTTTCGCTCACTGTATTATCCACGAGGATAATTGGGGAAGACACCTCGTCTCCGTAGAATTAGGGATGAACGCCAAACGAAACTTAAAAAATCAAAATATCCGTGGCTGGTGTTTAGCCAATGATACAGGTGCCGGATAAGAAAGATATTGTCGCATTCTTTTCCTCTCCTTTAAATAGAACTGTTTATAAATATGGCGAGAAAATAGTGTTTGCTAATTGGCTAATTACAGTATTAGGAAAACCACAAAAAGAGACACGATTCGGTAAAAGGCATGGTGTTGGTTTTATTTACCTTGCGGTTGATACGACCTGGAATAAATGGAAATATCAAGTTTATTCCATTAAGCGGTAGATAAGAAGTGTGGTTCAGTTTCTGTTCCAAGAAAAGTTGGCAAGTTTTGCACCGTTTAAGGTGCTTTGAGGTTAATGTCACCATGTGATAGATTGGAAGAGGTTTCTTAAGGAATCTAATAGGTATGTGCGTTTTTTTAGGCATTTTTTGATAAGCAGGATATCTATTGTAATATAATTTGTATAAATCGAACTGTGTCCTCAGCAAGAAAATCAATCATTCGGAGAAAAGACAAGTTTTGGATTCTTTCCTTTTTAATCCTTCGAGAGAAACTTCGTTCAACGCAAGTTATGTAAACGAAAAGATCTTGTTAAGCTATTCGGGTTTAATTTAAATATTGTTCTAAATAAATTCAAACCCAAAGTGTAATTAAATTAAGAATAAATTTCAGTTGAATTTTAAGCACGCCAAGAAAGTTGATAACATAGCATTTTTGTATTTTTCTTAACGAGCACTTCAAAAATAAGATAATATTTAGTAATATAACCGGAGCGTTGGGTTTCATTTTACAGAGAAGATTTGCATGAAAGATAATTGGCAACATTCAAGTAGAAATGTTTTCCTTGTAATAAAATCGCATTTAGTAGTTTAGCAAGAAACATTTCGATATTCAGTACACCGGGATTTTAAAATTGAGGGTGTGCCTTGTTGCAAAACCGGCTAAGGAACCTATTTAAAAACATTTAAAACTATTAAATATCGTGTAGTTTGATGCTGCATAGATAGTGCCAAGCAATACGTTCGAATATAACCACGGGGAGTTAAACAAGACTTTCGTTCCAATTTACTAACATTTACTGTGTCAAGCAGTCTTTTTTTGTAATTTAAGCACATGTTGGACAATTTTACGTTTCATTCGCTAAGATTTTTCAAGAAACTTAGAACAGTACTGATAAGCAAACTTCATATTGGGAATTTGTTACATTTATTGTCCATTTACAGAGAAACTGAACTCCAAAACAATTTCAATTTTACCAAATTGTTCAATTTATTATACAAATAGGATACCTTTACTTAAAGGATTAGTACTGAGAAAACATACTTCAGGTCATTTAATTAAATTAAACCTCTCCACCTAACACTTCACTTAAGCCTTTCCTCTTTTGATTTTCACGTAAATATCGACTTGGGCAAATGAGGTGAGACTGTTCCTTGCTTCGGTTTATTTTGAGTGAATTTAAGAAAAACCGTAAGGCAAAAAATAACATTGTGTAGTGTTTATATTGTCATAGCCTAGCCAGGTTTTCTATTCCACGCACCAGTTAATAAGTATTACATTTAAGTGCAGGCATGTTGGCTTCAATATAAGGAACATATTTAGAATCATTTTGATATTCCGGCATATTACAAAGGCTCCGCTTTGTTCACAGAATTTACGGCTTGTAAACAATACCCCCGAGGCCTAGTGAAATCCCAGACGCTCTTGGTTTCTATGAAAACATAAAACTTGCGGCTTTATTCAGAAAGGACACTGGCGTTTTTCTCAATCGCTTAACCGCAAACTAAAACAAATCATAAACAAATATTTTGTCGCCTTTGAAGTTTTCAATTATTTTTTTTTTCTTGGCAAACGGTTTAGATTTTTATATTCTACACTTGTGAATTTCCTAATTAAATATATTCTCTGTTATTTTTTAGGTTCGGTGTTATCCCGAGCAAATTAAAATCTTGGTTTATTATGGACGAAAACAGACGTAAAGAGAAAGTAAACAACTTGCGACTTGAGGTAGAAAACCTAGAATTAAAGGCTGCTGTTGAGGGAAAAGATAAA